CAAGAGTGACCTCTACTACCATCCTCCTCCCTAGGATGGGAGTTGGGAACCAGGTATTGCTTGTCTTTATATTGTCAGGGCATGGCAAAGTGCTGCCAAGCAATTCAACTCAGCATTTGTTAGGCACTTACTTTGTCCAGGTGCAGACGACACCAAGATGCGTGAAAAGATGGACTAGCCGGTCTCAGGAAGCTTGGACTCTGGAGGAGATAGATCTAAAGAAGCAGCTCCCATGAGAGCAAGGCTTCAGAAGAGAGAAGTAGGAAGCTGTATGGAGGTGAGACGACAAAGATGTATCTAGTGTGAGGAGGCACACATTTGAGTGGGAAAGGCAGGCAACACAAAGTGTTGAGCCAAAATATTGAGAAGTGAGAGAAGGATGTTTCAGAAACACTATACATTCTAGTGTGGCTAGAACAGAGGTACATGGAGGGGATGGCTGGAACTTGGCTGCCAGGCTAAGTTAGAGTTTGGACCTTACAGGTATGAAAACACTAGAAGTAGTTAAACAGAGGAGTGAGCTGACTCAGGTCTGTTTTTAACACAATTACCAGTGATAATGTAAAGAATATACATGGTGGGGAAGGAGAAGATATGGAGAGACTTTGAGGGACCATAATAATATGTAACTGGTCTCACTTGTTTCTAGTGTAAAACTACAAACGACTATATTATTATAGGCAAAACTTAGAGGCCCGATGCACGAAATTCGTGCAAGAGCAAGCACTTGCAGCCCTGGCTTTGTCCAGAGGTCATCCAGAAGGGTGTCCAGATGGTAGTTCTGCTGTTAGGTTAATTTGCATATTATGCTTTTATGATTATAGATTTAAGAACCTAGACCCCTGGGGTGGTAGAAAGAATGCTATGGTGACCAATCAACAAAATGTAGCAGGGGAATCAAAATCCCCAGCACTCACTGGATACTGAAAACACACCAAGTGCCTGATACCAAACTACACTATATTGGAAACAATGACCCAGCTAGACTTCCCATTTTCCGGAGCACAAAACATGTCCAGCCTATCTGTCAGTATTAATTGGTTACCATGAACGAATGAACACAAACACTGCAGGGAGGAATGCCAGTGTGCGCAAAATACATATGGGTTCAGGTAGGCTTAAGAAAAAGTACCTGCAATTAAAAGCACATCACAGGACAAAATTTCTGCACCCGAAGAGATCAGAAAACAGACAATTCAAAAAAAAAAAAAAAAAAAAAAAGGAAAAAAGGGAAAGAAAAAGAAAAGACACAGTCATTATTGTAATAGTTTATACTCTGTCTGAAAAACTCCCTACAGGAAATTTCATATTCATTTCTATCATGAAATTCAGTATACTAGTACATTGAAGACATTATTCAATACTAGGTATTTTTAGAGGTTTGGGGGAGTTATTCATGCTAAAATGCAGATAATTGGCAACTGGAGATCATTTGCATTACCATCATCCCCAAGCTGACCTGTTTATGTACTTCCAAAAGCACCAAAGTATTCCTATAAATATGCCCGTGATATCAAACCAATAACGATAGCAGAAAATTCCCTCCACTATTTCTCCTTGTGCTCCCAGTTAATTTAATATAAGCTCCAAAAATTACAAAGGTCTTTACACCATTTCCAAAGTGGAGAACAGACACCTAAATTTAGTTCACTAAAACCAGCCTAAACAAGCACATTTAGATCTAATGGGTCACTCGAGATGACTAGAACTTCCCAATCTCTCCATGTCATTTCCTTTTGGCTTTTTTTTTTTTTTTAAGTGAAGTGAGTCATAGTGTATAGATCTGTCTCCTCTTCACAAAACGGAGTCTCTGAAGAGAATGGTATTTAAATAAACATTATTAGGAAATTTTAATATTCATCTTCTTGGATAATAAAAATATATATTGTATATAGCAGTGAAGAATTTTAGTGAACTATTGTTATAACATGGTTTTAACCTAGATATGCATTAGATCATATTTCATAATGATAGCAGCTATAAAAACAAGTCATTTGGAAGAGTGGCCCATTTTACAAAGCCTGCCTCTTACATGGAATAAATCTTGTCTTCTAGTCACAAGCTACAGTTGCAACCTCCTTTATGTGAAACAATCAAATCATTCACATTGAAAGGTAATGAACAGTGTCAGAGAATCAAATAATTTAGAGATGAAAGAGCAAAACACCTGACAACAATCTTAAACTACATATGGAGGGCAGCTTATCAGCTATTTTCATTAATTCAAGTTCTGTTTTCTCTTCATTCTAGCTCCAAAAACCAATCCTTTTCCCTATCAGTTTTGTCTCCTCGTAGACAGCCAGACCAACTCAAATTCTAAGCTCACTAGTATTACTTCCACTTTCCAAACCAGGCATACAATCATTTATAAATGATAGAGAACAATTGACATGCAATCATTTAAATGATAGAGAAGAATTTTTAAACCATTTACATGTGTTATCAAGCTGTCTTTTTAATAAACCTAAATGCTCATTAGTACCTATACTATTTATTAGGCTAACAATTAAAAACACAGTTATGCTCATTTTATCAGATTAAGCTTACATAGAACCTTTGCCTGACACTTTTGTTTTCTAAGCTACCACATTCCTCAGCATTCAAGTCTACTTTACCCTTTGTTCATTGCCCAACTGTTGCCAAGTTTCTGCATCTTTTTGTTCTAGTTAGAAAAGAAGTTAGTGTCATAAGAAATAACTGCACTGCCTTGTTTACAAAATTTTAAGCAGAAATTATATTTTTCTAATCACAATAGACTAACCAAGCTTAAAATTACTTTGTACAAGGCTGTCCTCATCGTGACATGCTATAAATTAATTTTTTTTAATTTCCATTTTCTTCTAACCTGAAACACATTTCTTTGAATTCCTGAGAAATAATGGTTTCGGTAAATTGACACACACTTTGGGAAATGTGCCACTTTCAACTCAAGGTCATCTGAACTCTATGTTTTTAAAAATGCCACAGTGCTCAAGAAATAGCCACTTTTCCACTCAAAAAGGAGAAGAGCTTCTGATTTCAGTGTTCGAAAACAAAAATACCTGTACAATAGAGGTGAGAAAGCCCATAATGGACAACTCTCTAATGTCAAAAGAAACCACCTCCAGGAATGTGGCAATCCATTAAAGGAATCTCGACATACTGCAAATCTTGACTAAGTCTTGGAGTTCAAATACGGTAGAGAGAGAAACTTAAGAACAAGGAGGGAAGTTAAAGACGAACATGCTCCAAGCTCTGGCCTAAAACAGTAAAAAAACCAGTATATTTTAGAATATAAGTTTTTAGAATATTAATTTGTTGTTCCTGTATTACAGATTTTCCCCAATGCTTCATGGAGGCAACCTCCACTTGTGGCGGGGTGTATCATAATATCCAACACTTCAGAGGAACAATTTTTTCATTAAGAACCACTTTAGATTCCATTGCATTAAACCTGACGCAGACAGCACGTCATCTACACATTCTCAAAGCCGCTAGTGAAATTCACTCAATTACTTCAGAGAGACTAGACCATGGATACAAACTGTGTATATCTATCATTAACTAATATACTTTATAGCTTAAATAAAAGTAATCCTGTCAAATAAACTTGATGCAAATCTACATGAAACCAAGCATGCCAAAAAAAGGCTTCTGTCAGTCAGGCATACCCAAGAATTACTTAAAGCTCTCTTTCCTTTTTAAGTGGAGCTCAAAATAGATTTTAATTCTACCAGCTGATGGATCTCACAATTTGCCTTTTGAGCATATAAGCTGGAGACGGAATAAGCTGCCTTCTCCCCTTTACACAAGCAACGGCATCTCTCTATTCTGTACATCGTTTATTTAAAACATGGGAGTGCGGTTTTGGTTAATCCTCACAACCCCCGCAATGACATTTAATCAGGAGCACATATTTTCTTGTGAGGGTTAGCTGCTGGGGAAGGCAGACCGCTTCGTGTTTTTAATCTGATGTTTTAGAGATAGGTCAGAAGCCCTGCCTTCCTGACTCATGTGCGCACCACCAGAGCCCACAAGTAGAGAGGGCTTGGAGAGACCCAATCATCTCAGCCACGACCAAAGGATAAGATGCTCCTCCGCGAAAGATGCGACTTCGGTACACGATCGCATCTCTCAGTACAAATGTTAACTTTTCACGGTCCCTGTCTGAAAGGGCAACAATATTTGGGCTCCAGTGAAGGGTGAGTACCTCAGGCCTCCTGGCTGGAAGGATCCTTAGCCAGATACCTGCCTGGCTTGCCGCTGCTCCTCTCTCAGCTCACAGAGCACATGTCTGGTAGACCTGCCCTGACCCCCTTCCCTTCTCTAAAGCAGCTCACCTGCCACTACCTGAAATGACTTGCTTGTGTGTTGGACTGTCCTACTTGACTCTGAGCTCCACGAGGGATAAAGGTCTTGTCTTACTCAGTACACACTACCTCCAACGCCTAAGCGGTCCTAGCACGAACAGGCACGCCAATTCGTATCCGTTAAATGAATGAACAGGAAGGGGGAAGGGGATTTCATCCCTGGGACTCCCGAGGCACACGGAGACGAGGGGAAAGGAAATGTGAAGGAGGGAGGGGGAGGAGGAACCCTTTCTCCCAGGGAGACAAAGGAAGAGAGTCTGAGGTGGTCCCGTCCAGAAAAGGAAGTGGCGGGGGCGTTCTACCAACCCCGGGGGACAAAGACTGGCTGGGAAGGGGGTCGGGTTCGGGGTGCGAGGGTTGCGCGCGGAGAGACCCGCGACCCCCCGGGCTGGAGAGACAGATCGCCGGGAGGGAGGATGCGAGGTAAGCGGGGGGATCAAAGGGAATGGAGAGATCCGGGAGGGACGGAGGCCCACCCGAGGGACAAAGAGAGAGGGCGCCGGGCTCCGCCGCCGTCGGACCGAATCCTCCAGCAGCAGGGCCGACGCGCAGGTCGAGACCCAGAGGAAGCACGGGACTCGGGGTTCTGAGGGGAAGGTTCCCGCGGCCTAAGCGAAGGGCCTGCCGCCGCGCTCCGGGCTGCTCCCGCACCTGGTAAATGGCCGCCCAATTCCCGGCCTTGTCGATCTGCTCGAACTCCTTTTCCATTTCCATGGCGGGCCAGGGCGGCTGCCGCGCCTCCTCCTCGGCCTACCCCGCCGTCTGCCGCTCTAGGCCGCGCCGCGCACTCCGCCGGGAGTCCCGCTGCAAGCCTCGGCTCCCACCGCTACCGCCGCCCTAGCCGCTGCTTCTTCATGTCAACCCGGCAGCCGGAAGTACGCACCGCGCTGCCGTGGGCTCCGCCCCCAGAGCGAAGGCCAATCAGCGGCCGGGCAGGTCAGCCGGCACTTCCGCGGGGTGGAGTCAGGCGGTGGGCGGGGGTGGGAGGGAGGGAAGCAGCCGCAGCCCCGCGAGACCTCTCGCAGCGCTCGCTTCCCCCCCACCCCCCCCAAATCCGGAACTCCGAGCGTGGGCGGGGCGCCCGCCCGTTGCCTAGGCGACCCCGGGAGCTCGTCGCTAGGCGCTAGGCTTTACCGGGCCTCCTGGGATAGTGAGATCAAACCTCTAGGAAGCCCGTGGAGTCACAGGGTGGCTTTGAAATAGTCGTGTACCTTTCATGCAACGCCAGGGTCCTGGCCTCAGTGCTCCAAGTTGGATTATGGGCCTAGGAAACACGCACCATTTCCTGCCTCTGGCCAGATGTCTGCACGTTTTTTCATGAAACTTAAGAGATTTTTTTATTTACCAGCCTGCTGAGGAAGACACCCCCTATTCTCTGTATTGGCCTTGTACTTGAAATGCAAGATTTCCATTTGAGGTCTCCAATTTAGGGCGCTGCAGGAATGGATTGAGGTCCTGGCTTGATTTTCAGTCTCCCAAAGTATCAAGGAAATCTTGCCCAGCCTGGACTCAGAGGAGCACTAACTCCGGGGTTCATTCGAGTGTCGAAGAATAAAGATTTCTTGGTCCAACTCCAAATAATTCAGATACCAACAATTTGTACTTTTTACCAGCAACCCCAGCTAATTGTACTCCTGTGGTCCTGGAAGCTCATATGAAAAGAACTGGTCAGATTGCCCTCCTGCAGGTTCTATTTAAGCCTTCCAGCTCTGGAATCCTGAACTGCATAGGGTCAGAGAACCCAGAGGACCTTATCTTCTCTGTTCCCTGTTTGCATCTCAGGCCTTAGAGCAGCTGCCTGTATCACTGGTTGAAATAATTCCTTGAGTGCTTACAGCCTGGGATTCCAAGTACACATTCTCAGTCTCCACAAGAATCCTACAGTATAGGCACTGCTATTATTACCACTTTGTGGATGAGGAAACTGAGGTGCAGAGAAATGAAATCACTTCATTGCACATTGGTATGCAAGCCAAGATTCTAACCCAGTCTCCAGGGGAATGTTTTGGAGCCAGGTTGCCTGGGTCCAAATTCCAGCTCTACTAAATATGAGCTGTGCAACCTTCAGCAAAAAACCTAACCTTTCTCTGCCTCTGTTCCTTCCTTTGTAAAATTAGAATAATAAAAGTACCTACCTCATAGGGGTGGTGTGAAGATGGAATAATATATATATATATATATATATATATATATATATATATATATTATAGTGAGTGGATCAATAAATATTAGCCCTTGTTACTATATACCTACCTCCACATAATAGCAAGTGGAGGTGGAGAGGTGAATGAATTCTTTTTGAATAAATGCAATTGATTTAATAGGCAATGTCTTTAGAAATAGAGTGTTCCATGGAGGAAATTAACAAAAGATGTCCATTCCAGTGGAAAGTTTGGGAATCCCACACTTGGAAACTGCCTAATTTAAGTCTTAGCCCATTTAAGTGACTCCAGGGTCTGGTATACTCTTCCTGTCCTCGTTGATTTGAGCGCTAGTTTGGTACTCACGGAACTCCTTGGAGGGAGAGAGAACAGGGCTGGTTCATTCTTGTCATTTTGGGCTGAGCTAAATAAGTAAATAAATTAAATGCCCGTCTGGAGCCCAAGTGGCCCTCAAGCCTGCAGGGAGCGTTACCCAAGGACTGCAGCACCCTTTGAGTGGGGCCAAAGCTATGCACAAGTTCTTGATGGAGGAGAGGGGGGCTGCAGGCTAAAACGGGGTCCAAGTCTGGGCTGTTTCGTGGGCGTGGTAATTTCCTAGGAGTGTCATAACAAATTACCAGCAATTTGGTGGTTTAAAACAACAGAAATGTGTTTTCAAACAGCTCTGCAGGCCAGAAGTCCGAAATCAATGGGACTGACAGGGCCACAAGCCTTCAAAGGCCCTAGGGGAGAGACATTCTTTGCCTTTTCTCGCTCAAGGTGGCTCAGGGTCCCTTGTCTTGTGGCAGCATCACTCCAATCTCTGTCTCCATCTTCACATGATTTTCTTCTCTGTATCTCCTCTGACTTCTTGTGTGATATCTGGCAGGGAGGAGTGACCGTGGTACCAGAGTCTGCTACACCTTTCGGAGCCTTCCTTTCATTTGTAAAGCTCGCCAATTCCCTGCCAAGGTCTGGCCTAGAACCAGCCAAACTCTGGAATCCCCAGAGGAGTCTTTTAGTGATGACAGTTAGAAAATAAACAAACGGCCATGTGTCATGATAGCTGAAATCTTTTCCTGGCAGACATGATCTCACGCAGTTTCTCTGGCCTTTCCTCGTGGATTTAGCTAATGGAGGGAATCAATGACCCATTAAACTTTAAAAAATGTCCTGACGAGTTTCAGTGGAGAAGGACGATGATTCCCAAGGATCATCGACTCCTAACTTAGCAGTGTCAGCACGCTGCCTGGTCTGGTCTTTTTTTCTGGAAGATGGCTCAGTGTTAAGAGCTTGGGATCCAGTGTGAGACCAAATTGGTCTCTGATGAAATGTCACTTCCTCAGAGAGGCCCCTTCTGATGCCTCCTGGTAAACAGTGCCCAGTCACTCTACCCCTTTTCCCTCTTAGCACTTACCAGGCATTTGGTGTCATATTTTCTCCCCAGGGTTACCACAGCACTATGGTAAATATTTGTTTTAGGTGTTCATCGTCTGTCTCCACCACTAAATGTAGATTTCATGAAGAAAAAAAATGACGTCAGTTTGGTTCAATGCTGACTTAAGTCCTTGGAAAGTTCCAGAAACTGAGAAGACAGGGCTTCTTTCCACCTAAGAGACTCAGAACTGAAGGGTCCTCAGGATCACCCACTGAGGACATGCAGCCCTCTGTTCACCACTGAGGATATGCAACCAGGAAGGGAATGGCCCTCCCCTTTGAGAGTCACACATGCTAACATAGTGTGGGCACCTTGACTAGTTGGTTGATTTGGGGTCAGCCAAAGACACATCTGAGTTGGAATAACTAACCGGGGCCGAGCACTGGAAAGGATGCACAGAGCTTCCGCCTGCAGCCACAGACAGCAGCACTAGGTAACAGTGTTGTCCAGCATTTTCTATTTCCCAACAGCCCTGCAAGTCAGATGTTATCCCATTTTTCAGATGAGAAAGGGGCGGCTCAGAGAAGGTAAAGAGATGAAGTCAACCGACACCCAAATGCAGAATGGCCCCGATGTTGGAGCAACGGGCACAGCAGGTTAGAAGCTTCTATATCCTGGGTTGGCGACTGACTAGCTTTCAGGCCATGGGCAAGTTGCTTAACCTCCTGGCCTCAGCCTGGATGCTTTCCAGTGAGAAAAACCCAACTGAATGTGGCTTTCACAAAACGGGGAATTTGCTGGCTCATGAAACTGGGAAGTCTAAAAATGGCTTGATTCAGGCATGGCTACATCCAGGGGCCCAAGCAATGTCATCATGACTATCTCTTAACAGCTCTTTTATCTGTTTCCCCCTGTGCTAGCCTTACTGTCAGGCAGGCTCTCCTCCCGAGGTAACTAAGGTGGGCCAGCAGATCCAGGCCCCCATCCTGCCAGCTCAGTAACTTCAATATGAAGAATACTTTTCCCTGGTGGTGCCAGCACAAGTCCTGGCCTTGAATCTCATTGGTCCAATTGAGACTCACATACCATCTCTAAGCCAAGAGAAATATTGACAAAGGAAGAAACTGAGGCTCAGAGAAGTCAATTTCTTAATCAAGATCACACAGCTTTAAGTAGTGAAGTAGGATTTAAATGCAAGCACTCTGCTCCCAGCCTCTGAGCTCTCACCTGTGCTGTTCAGACTCTGCAAGGCTCTCATTGTTACCATGAGTTCTCAATAAACAATAACCACAAAGAGCTAATAATAGTAATCATAACACAACAGCAACATGGAGAAGCCTGTACTATTAGTGTCCCCCATTTGAACCAAGGCACAGAAAGGTTAAGCAACTTGCCCATGGTCACACAGCTAAGAAATGGTAAACCCAGGATTTGAACCCACTGTAGCTCTAGATACTCCTTCTAATTCTGAGATTCTATGAATGTATGTGAGTTCTGCACTGTTTCAGAACTCACGGAATATTTAACAGCTCAGAAGCTCCTTGTTCATATCTTCCTGGGCTCTCTTCCTTATCCTTACAAAGACTCCCCCACTTCCCCACCCCACAAAGTAGTTTAGACTTTACTTCAAGCCATTAAAAATAAATCAAGAATAAGAATATAAATCTAATCCTGAGGGATTGGTCCTGTAAGGGTGACTGTCCCAGTGGGGGGAAGAGAAGGCGCTCAGGGGGAACTAGGCTATCACATGGGTTCTGAGAAAGAAAGGTCAAGGCCCGGGGGACGGTCTGAGAGGGAAGTTAGACCTTGCCCCATGCTTTCAGCAGAGGAGGAGTCTGGGTGGTGTCCAGAGGTCACTAACACTCCGCCCCATCCAGTTGAGAGAGTCGGGATGAGAAGACACTTTGGTCACATATACAGCGGTTCTGGGCTCAGATCCTGGACTCTGGCTGACGTGGGCTATGTGCCCTTGGACAAATTCCTTACCCTCTCTGATTCTGGGTTTTCCATCTGTTACTTAAAGCAAGGATGTGATGGTTGAAGGAGATGGTGTCTCAGCCTGGTCTCTAGTTCACAGCAAGGACTCAATAAATGTAGCTGTTGTTACCACAATTGTGTAGGCTGATGGAAAAAGCAGGCTACTATCTGTCTCCACAGTATATGTTGCAACCTGCTGTTTACATCGCTAATTTTGT